TCACATCCTGGACAGAGAGGAACGATGGTTTGAGAGAGGAGTAAAGGAGGCCATCTTTGTGAAAAGAAATCGTCCATAATTAAACAGGGGCGGAGCCTCCGTGTTCAACTGTCTCCCTCTTACAATGCTGTGATTGCTAGTATTACTCAGCCTTCTGTGAATAGTAAACAGCCATCAAGTGCTAATGATCCATTGTTAGGCTGATGGTCCTTCTTGAGCATGTGAGCAGCTGGTTTTGGTTGTCAGCAGCAAACTGGTTGATCCAATCTGAGAAGGTGCTAAAGAGACTGAGCTGAATACAGCACCTCAGACTGAGGAAGTCTCTCGGATGAGAGACGAAACGTTTCTACATTTTTTTTGCTTTTTTTTTTTTTGTTTGTTTTTTTGAATGTCCAGAGGGGCAGCACGGTGGCGCAACTGGTAGAGCTGCTGCCTCTCAGCGAGCAGGTCCCTGGTTCAAACCCCGGTCCAGGGGCCTTCTGGGTGGAGTTTGCATGTTCTCTCTGTGCATGCGTGGGTTTTCTCCAGGTACTCCGGTTTCCTCCCACAGACCAAAAACATGCATGTTAGGCTAATTGGTAACTCTAAAATTGCCCCTAGGTGTGAGTGAGAGAGTGAATGGTTGTTTGTCTCATTTGTCTCTATGTGTCCCTGTGATGGACTTGCGACCTTGTCCAGGGTGTCCCCCGCCCCTCGCACAGTGATTGCTGGACATGGGCACCAGCGACCCCCGTGACCCAAAATGGAATAAGCGGGTAAAGATAATGGATGGATGGATGGATGGATGAATGTCCAGAGGACCAGATTGAACTTTTTTGGAATCAATGAGTAAATTAAAGAGAAAAAAATATATATACATATATACACAATACACTAATAATAATAATAACTGAAGAATTAATAAAAAGCATTTAAAACATAGGGTCACAGATTTAAAAACACTGGATCAATTTACACTGTATGAAATGCCTGAGAGAACAGATGTGTTTTAAGCAGAGACTTGAAGTGAGGAAGGGAGGTGGCCTGCCTGATGTTGCGGGGCAGGTAAACAAAAAGGATTGAATCATTCTATAATGACTAGGTGGCAAATCAAATATTTTTGAAATGGTGTTCTTTAAAGCTGCCCGTTGTTAGTCTGAGTGAAGCCAAGATCAAAAAAGATTACAGTCATCTTTAAATCATTTCAATCTCAGACATTGCCCTCCCCAACCAATTTGGCATCTTGGACAAGATTTTAGGCAAAGCCTTCTGTGCATTTTTGTAAAATTCACTGCCAATTTACCTTCACCCGTGACCTGAAAAGGAAGAAGCTGGTACAGATAATGGATGGATAGATGGATGAAATTTACTTTCACTCACAGAAGAAACTGTCTTTGATATTGTTTTTAATTGTACGAATCAGGTTAATTAAATCAGTTGGGGGAGTGGTGGCACAGAGGTACCGACAACATAAAAAATGTGGGTGGGGTAGGTGAAGCACCCACACCTGCCCCCACCCTCATTCATCCCACTCTGGGCCCTTGAGCAAGGCCCTTAACCCCCACCATCTGCTCCTCCTGGTGTCCTAGATAGCAGCTCTCTGCTGCACACAGAGTGCTGTGGTAGCTCAGTGATCTGGGGTTGTGTCAGTAAGGGCATCCGGCGTAAAAAAAAAAAAAAACCAACAAAAAAAACAACTGCCAAGTCTTCGTGTGACTTAGTTCACTGTGGCGACCCCTAACGCAGGGAGCAGCCAAAAGAAGAAGAAAAAATTAAGTTAAGTTAATTAAATCAGTTAACAAAAATACTGAAATTGAAATTGAAAATCAAAAACCTAAGTAATACCTAATTTAAGTACCTCCAAAAATTGTAAACAAGTGACAAATTGTTAGGTTCTGGGGTTGGATCTGGATGGGGTTGTTTTCCCTTTTTTCCTCCAGGAGGCGCCATTGGATTGTCAGGGGGGCGTGACGGGTTGCAGCTGATCTCA